GGATTTAGAGCAGAGCATGGAGAAGATCGACAACAGAAGTGAAGAAATGTGGAATAAGGTAAAAAAAATCGTTCTATGATTATTCAAACTGGGTTCCTGAGTATAACCTCTACTGCTCCTTTGACTTCAACTGATGTAATGTAAGAACTTTCAAGATGCTGTTGTTGTTTGTTGTTTTTTTTTTTGTATCTCTGCTTCTTTTTCTATCTCTGCTTCTGTCTCCTTGAACCCCAGTTGGCCTCAGCAGATGGCCGCTCACACTGAGCCTGGTTCTGCTGGAGGTTTTTTCCTGTTAAAAGGGAGTTTTTTCTCTCCACTGTCACTACAAGCATGCTTAGTGTGAGGGATTGCATTTGAGTCGATGCAATCAACTGGTTTTCCTCAGATAGAAAACCTTGAATCAATCGGACTGGATGATCTGGTGAACTGGAAAGAGCCTTGAGATGACGTGTGTTGTAAATTTGCACTATATAAATAAACTGAATTTCATTTAACTGAAATTGCTTGTGTTCTAACGTAGGCACAATGGCAGGAATGTCCGCCCTACTCTGAATTCCTGATCATGATGCCTTGAGGTGTAAACTGCCATTTCTGTCACTAAGATCCAAACATGTTTCCGTCTGGTTTGCGAAAGCCTGCCACTATAATAATAATAATAAACTAATCAATATTTGCAATCCTTAAAACCTTAGAAACAATTAACTTTACTTTTTCTCTGTTTCTTATCTTTACTTGAACTGTCTTTCTTTAATAATTGTTTCAAAGAAGCCATCGGCTACTTGGCTTTCTACTCCTGTATTTATCTTCAATCTAGTTTTAGAGCCAGTTCAGTGGCTCTAAAACAAGATTCAGTGGCTCTGCTGGGTTTCAGTGAGCAGAAGAAAATGTTCACCTTTACAGTGTTATTCTTTCTCACCATATAGGAAATATTAACCCAGTAGGATTAATGTGATTTATTCAACATGACTGCACCTCTGTCAGGTGAAAAGGAGGTACGCTTTTACCGGTGTTACTTGTCGGAAAACTCTCCTGCTGCTGAGTTTTTGATTAATGTAGGAAGACATCACCTACTGCTCCTGAATCTGAACCACTGAGGACTATCTAACTTCACCACAAAAACTTGCTTTTATCGCCGCTCGGGTCCACTTTCTCTCCCTCTCAGGCCGCAGCTCTCATTGACCTCATCGTCTTCATGAGTTAATGGAAGAAACGTGCCCTTGGGGTCCATCGGGCACATTTCGAGTCGGCTCACACGTCCTGAGACGGAAACAACATGAATAATTTGCATTGATGCTGCGGGGAACGTGAGGAGGGCTGACACCTGCGCGCCGTGAAATGGAGACACCCTTTAATTCCCTGGACTCAGGGGAATTTCTGCACAATAAGCAGCTCGGAAAAACAACAACAAAAAACGCTTTTGTGCTTCTTGTGGTCTCCAACTGGAGCTTAGTTAATGAACTATAGATCTTTTTGTCAAGGCATAAAAAAACAAAAGCAGGTCAATAAGTGAGTTACATAAAAGTATTTTATATGGTTAATGAGGCAGGCCTAATTGAATCTGTGCCCCACAGCATTTAAATCTTTAACTGATTACTTCTCTATCAGTCTAATAAATGCTGGGAACTGACAACAGCAGGATATCGTCACTAATGCATGACGTTAGTTCAGCTTTGAGTTTATAAAACACAAAAAGAGACAAATGAATGAATATAGAATTTAAATGTAAGGTTCCAGATCATATAAAGTGGATTACTTTTACCACTTAATTAATCTTTTTCAGGAATATAGAGTGCTAGAAAAGTATAAATACATCCATAAATTAATAGGTGTCAGATTAACTTAAAGATTCTAATTAACTCAAAGGCGACAGCTACAAGTCTAACTCCTCCAGGCCACTAAGTGGCGCACTCGCACTCCGCTGCTCTCGTTCTGTACCTGTTTCCAGGTCTGCTAATGCTAACCTAAAAAAAATTTGTAAAATACTAGTTCAGCTCCCTATTCTTTCCGGAAGTTATGTCGCCTGAACAGTCCAGCTTCTTTTAAGTGTGTCTTCAGTGTACGCAAACTAACTGAAATTTGGTGATTAGTCTTGAGCATATCCAGTATCACCTCGTACGTATGTCCTGATTCAAAATATTCCTGGATAACGGCAGCTATGTTTGGGGCGCCGACAATATCCATGTTTTCAAAAGCCGCAGCAGGCAGAATGACTTCCGGTTCAAGGGTCAAACGGCGCCGTCGTCCAATCAGCGATGTCTTATGTTTCCCACTGGTACCTACCTTTCCCGGTAGGTTAATGTAATTGTGTTTTCCTTAATGTAGTTGCGCTTTGCTTTATGTAGTTTTGTTTTCCTTAATGTAGTTGCGCTTTTAGATTTGTAGTTGCAGTTTGCACTTCAGGGCCACCGTAGTAAGATGAGGGGGTTTTAAATGTAGCAAAGTAAAACTACTTAGGTTAAAATTACATATTTCAAAAACTACTCAGAAAATTACAAATTACTCGTAAAAAGTACTCAATTACAGTAACTTGAGTAAATGTAATTAATTACTTTCCACCCCTGGAAATAAGATTAGCTGTTTAGTTGCTCACGGTAGTGATTGACGAAAATAATGTTTATATACAAGAACTGGGAAAGTGCAAAATGAAAAAATAGCATTTTCTTGAAGGTCAACAAAACTTTTCACATCAGATGTTCTTGCGTGGAAACTTTAAAGCGATAATTACCCTGTAAACAGTGTGGATAGCAAAAAAGAAGTTGCCATGTTTTGCTGCTAATGAAACTGGTGCATTGAGTCTATTGAAGGGAATTGGAGAGGAAACTAAATGCCTACAGGCTCTAGAACTTCACACCAGATCAGCATAGATAGAGGCTGTAATAAAGCCATGATATCAGACAAATATCAGAAATTGTGTTGTTTTGATAGCCGGTAACTAAAACAATCAATAAATCTAATCTTGTGTAACAAACTGTCGTGGCTGAAAGATGCTTTTTGGAAGAATGATCCTAAATAAGGAGGAATTTTGTTTTTTGGTCATAAAAAAAATCATAATTTTAATAACCTTATATCTATAGAGTATATGTTTAATTTTGTTCTGGTGGATTTATTTTAGATAGAGGCTTTTTAAGTGCTTTTAAAGTGCCGAAGATTAACTGAACATTATGTTTAATTATGTAAATGCTTCAGGGCTACAAAGGTTCACTTAAGTGTCAGTTCAGCATGTTGGTTTGTAAATACTAGTAAATTCTAACTACATATATTAGTGTTCTTGTGCAGTTAATCCTATCTCTCCCTGCTCTGCTCTGCTAATTAGAGTAAACAGACCCTCTCTCCCAACCTGGCTATTTAAACCTGCCTCTCTCAGTCATTCCCTGCCAGAATGTCTCCTCACAGCCTTCCTGTGCTCATCCTTCCTTCACCGGATTCTCATTAGCTTCAGACACTGAAATATTTCTGCTTATCAACAGTTTGCTCTATCTTCCAGCCTGCCAACCATCCTCCAGTCTGCTTAAAATCTTCCTCCACTCTGGTCATTTATCGTCTCCCTTCTCAGAACTGCAATCCGCCAGTTCAGCCTGTCACCAGTCTCCTTATGCAGCTACCTGCCCATTCTGTTGGTCACCAACTGGTTCAGTCATCAGCTGCCAACTCAAGCCGGCTACCAGTCTGCCTGCCTGCACTAATCAACGTTCAGTACAACCTCTTTTATCTACATCCTGAGTCCTCAGAGGTAATTTTATTACAAATTAGTCAATAAAGTTATAAAAGAATTAAGTTACTAAAAGAAATTAACTTCATAATAATATCCTAATTAACTGAATCTTTATTATGTAACATTTTTTATACCTTAACTTTAAAATCCTTCCTTATTTTTGCGTGTTTTTAACCTTGGAAGACAAAACAGAAGGATTTCAGTGATATAGCTAATTTAGTATTTTCTAGCTGTTAGTTTTTAAATGTTTTACTGATATTGATTAAATTGAATCAAGAGAAAATGTAAGAAAGCACATTTAAATAAGTGTTTTTCTAACAGCTAATCACTTTAAGATAAAATACGAAAACAACTAAATGGATTAAAGTATTTTCAAGCTCAGGAGGAGGAAATATATTGAATCATTGAGTAATTTGAAGAAGCAGAAGCAGTTCATGTAAAAAGTGTTTAAAAAAATAAAAAACAAAAGGGATTACAGACTCCAGAACAAGTTACCAGAGAAAAAGCTTTCAATAACAGCTCTATCACTCGGCCAAATGGGAAGGCTGACAGAGAACAACAAAGAAAATTGATGCTTTAAATGAGCCGAGCATGAAATCCGAAGCAAAGCAGGAAGGTTTTGGAAGGGAGACCCACCAGCAGCCCAGGGAACATGTTAACGGGTCAGAGCGGAAAACTGAAAGCAATAAACTTTACCAAGTGGACTGTAATAAATCAGTGAAAGGAAATGAGCTTTCTATCTGGAGGAGCCTAATGTAAACCAGCGGGATCAGGTAAACAGAAGAAAACAAGGCTCCAGTGGACTGAAGAGAAGCAGCAGCAGACCCAGAGGATTTCTGCTTAAACTCAATAACAGGACAAACTCAAAGCTTCTTAATCCACTATGAGGTTCTGTTGGAAGGAAGCAGCTCCTGTCATGGCTCTGATAAGGCCCACTGGGCTGGGAAGGGAGAAAGAGGGGAGATGCTGCAAAGTCAGCAAAAATCTATTAACTGATCAAAGCAGAAATTAAATCTATTATGTTTTACAAAAGCAAATTGTTTCAGCTTTTTAGCCAGGAACTGATGTTTACAGATTTATTTATATTTTATCAATGATTTGAGGTTTTATTTTGTTGATTCATGATAAGAAATGTTATATACCTGTTTATTTTAATAAGGTTTTCCACCAGTGTTGCTTTATTAGAGCCAATAAAAGCTTCATTAATTGGATGATTATATTTCCAGCCAGTAAATAAATATTTTGTGTTATTTTATGGGTAAAAGGGAAGGAAAAACTCAGTTCTTACTTTGACTGTCAAATTTCCTGATGATAGTATCCAAGAAGGTGTTCTGAGGGGCCACATGGCCCCTCCGGACCGGCATCTTTACAGCGGTGGCACCTGGATAAAGGCGACCTCTTAGCGGGGACTTTTAAGGAGATGACGGTGGAGGTTCGGTTCTCCAAGCGCCTCTGAGAGCAGGATGCTCAGTGCGCTCCCCACATGGACCCCTCCCCCCCTCCTCAAAGTTTCCAAGGTGTGTTCAGGTGGGTTCTGATCTCTGGGAGATGAATGAGAGAGTTCTGGAAAGGAGGCGCGCTGTGCGCACCGGGAGGACCGGATCCACTTCCAGCCTCAGAGTCCAGACTGGGAGCCGAGCTGCTGTCCCTCTCTGTCCGCCGATGCGCTCACGCAGCTGCGCTCTCATCCTGCGCTCCTGGCCGCTCCTTGGAGGCGGACTGGGCGACTTCTCCGATGAGCGTCGTTGGAGCCATAATAATTTTTTTTATTATTGGGGGGGGGGGGGGGGGGGGGGAGAGCTGAGCTGCGCCTTTTTTATTTATTTCTCACTCACTCCACCTCCTCTTCTCGTTGTTTTGGCCCCTGAAGCCTCAGATTGGCTGCAGAAGGAGAAAGAAATGAAAAAGAAAAGCAGCTGCGCGCAGGTCGACAGCCCGGACGTGTTTTAGAAGGTGTTGCGTGGATCTCCCTTCCTCCTCCTCCTCCTCCTCCTCGCTGTGCGCGCTGCCGGATGACTTCAGCTCCCCTGGCGTCTAGCTGCGCCTCTTTTTAACCCTTTGCGCATCACGAGTGGCGCCCAACACACCTCTGATTGACAGGGAGCCACATGAGAGCGCTCACTTCTTCCTTACGGATCAAAGCCAGATTATGATCAGTTGAATTATCCCAAAAATAAATAATCACTACTTGTCATAAAGAGTTTAAATTATTATTTTTATTTTTTTTCCTCTTGGAGATGCTGCCTCAGGTCAGACTGAAGGCCCTTAGGTGAGCGCTGCATCCAGGCTGAAGGTGCACCTGGTAGTCCATCAGATAAGGCAGGAAATGCGCCTCCTTCACCTGCTGGATGAGGCTGCAGACAGACGCCTGACGTAAACAGGTGATCCACAGCTTCACCTGTCCTCTTTCTTAAATGAAAAAAAAAACGCTCTTTACGCACAGCCACCTCCCCAGCCTGCTCCCTCTATTGTGCTGCCCCGCCCCGCTCTGTGCAAGCCGCGCTCATTTATTTATTTACAGGATTCCCGAACCAAGAAAATAAAAGAGAGAAAAAAAAAATCACCTGAGTGAAAGTGAAATATCCCTCCGCAGCTGCGACAGATTTAGGGATTTAAGGTAGTTTTTTAAGGTCGCTCAGTGGCTTTAATTTGCTTCCATCAAGGGGCTGGACGGGGATTCACCACTCAGCCTGCTCTGCTACGTCACACCTCCGGGGTTTCCCCCCTTCCGTCATGCTGGAGATGATGCATTCAGGGAAAGTGGGAATTTATAATATCAAATGAGGCGCTTTTAAAGAATGGAACTAGAACTAAGTAAAGCTCCATATTTACATAATTTCAAGATTATTTACAGGGTTGTAACCAAGATGCTTTATATAACATAGTTAATGCACTGGATATTAGAATCCAAGGATTTCTGCTGTGTAGCGTAGTCAATAAAAAAGGAAAACCCCAAGAAACACAGACAGACAGATTAGGCAAGTCTACTGTTAAGGCCAGGCTTAAAAGTTTCCCTTTTTATAAAGCTTATAGTTGTAAACAGACTGATGTTTTGCTCAGTCGTTGGGTGAGTAGAGATATAGAGGACGTAGAATGAACTGCCCGATCTAGAGAGGATGATTCAGTTCAAACAGACGTTTCTCCTTGGCTCTACTTTTCTCCTACCTCATCTGAAATAGTCATGTTATCATGAGCTAGCTGTATAGTTTTGCTGCTATAGGCTTAGGCTGCTGGAGGACATATAGTAGCAACCTACTTTCATCTCTTCGTTCTATCTGAAGGGCAGTGGAGGCCTAGTGGTTAGTAACCTGACTCCGCCAGATAGATGTGCTCCGCATATCCATCTGGAAACGTTCCGTTGAAGTAATTTTGGGAAGGGGCGAAAATACTGGTTAGCTGATTGGCCTATGTTGGTGATAGACGGGCCAAATAAACCAATCAGATCAACGAAGCATATGACGTACTAACAGAGCGACGACGAAGAGGAGCCAATTGATAGATCAAACTCTTGCTGAAACCAGTCGGGAGAAGAGCAAAAACATCTTTTCCTCTGAGAAAAGCCTCCAGAGCAGTGTTTTGCTCTTCTTTCAGTGAAGAAATACTCTGTAATTCCGATAAAACTTGCTCGATAGCCACGCTAACGCTAGTTTCATCGGCTGAAGCCGCCATGTTCTTCAGACTGAACTGTCGCGCCTCTCGTTGCGTCACACCTCAACCCGCCTCAAAGCCAACGCTGACTGGACGTTCGTTTGGTGAACGGCTCCAAATTTTCTTTAACGGAGAGTCTCCAGACTGATCTGCGAGTGAAACCTTGAAAGCTCACGAGATCAGGATGGTCTCACCAGGCTAAGTGGTTAGGGCATAGAGCTTGGAATCCTGAGGTTCTGAGTTCGAGCCCCACTTCTAAGGTCTGCCACTCTGGGTCTCTGTGCAAGACCCTTAAAACCAGACTGCTCCCCGGGCACCCGCACAATGGCAGCCCACTGCTCCCCAAGAGAACGGATTAAATACAGAGGTAAATTTCTACAATGCGAGATCATTAGTTAAATTGTTATTATTATCTCTGTTCTCCCATCCCGTATAATTTTTTAGTACAATCTCTACTTGCTACCATCAACACCTTAGATTATAGATGATAGAGTTAAGGCCATATAGCGAAGGGCTCAACTTTTACTGTGACTAACTGGACGTATTCTCCTTCGTCACTTGACATAAAAACTGGCTCAGATCCCATCAGTTCAACTGCTTCTTTCCCAGAAAGATTCACCAATGGACCTAGTTTACTGTTACTGTTTCTAACAAGGAAAGTATTTATAGATCAGTGCTTCTGTGTTCCTTCCTTCTGTCCCCCTCCTCCAGATGCCATAGGTTTGTATTTCAGGAGTTGGGATTAGTCCCTTAGTTTCAGTTCAGGAACCATGAATACCTCATTATACATAGACATTTTGGACAACTCTATGCTCCCAACTCTGTGGGAACAGTTTGGAGCCCCTTCCATTTCAGAGATGAAACGGACAAAGCAACGTCCATAAAGACAAGTCTGGGTTGGAGGAAGTTGACCGGCCTCCACAGAATCCTGACCCCAGCCCAAGTGAACACCTTTGAGATGAATTAGAGTGGAGACTGAATGAAGATGTGGCCATTCATGCCAGAACTTCCACTGCTAAGAAGAAATATTTCTTTTTGAGCCAAAAACACGCTTGACATAAAACAGCGACAGCTCTGTGGATGCATTCCTCAAAATGACCCAATCAGCTCCATCGATGCGTTTTGTTTTGGTGTCTTTGGTCATGCTCTTTAACGATGGCAAGCGTGAAGAAAGAGACCACCAGGCCGAAAGACCATCTGTCAGAGTGTGACATTTCGGTGCGTATTAAAAATGCATCAGTTGGTTTTGTTACACCCTGCAGAAGAGCAGCTGAAATCCAGTGAAAGCATGCTGGCCCACTTCCCCTTCTTCCAACTCCCTTATTTAGTCAGGAAAGGAGAGAAACAGAGAGATGAAGACGGAGGAGGTGAGAACGGAGAGATCAGCGGAGCAAGGAGGAAAAGAAAAAGATGGTTTATTACCAAAGAAAGGACAGGTCCAAGGTTGTCAAAGTTGTTTCTGCACACACTGTCCGCACACAAAGATAAAGGTCACAACAGTTCCTCTTATTATTACATTCTATTTTCTAAATAATGAAATTCTATAGCTGATTCATTTGACACAGGGATTAATACATCTTCTGACGATGAAAGATAAACTCATAAAACTCGCCGTCCGGCTGAGCCCTTTATGACGCTGCCAACTTTATGCAGCGAGGAGCATAAACAACAGATTATGTCGATCCTGAATGAACAAAATAAGGGGAAACTCATACTTGTTAAAAAGCAGACAGGCTACTGGTGGTTTTTGTGTTGGCCTTTTAAGGAGTCTGAAAAACAACCGGGACACAAACTGAGACAGAATGTTTATTTTTACATTCTTTAATTGCTAAAGCCTCTGTCAGTTTTTGGCTCTAAAAACAAAACTTTCATTGGTCTAAACATGTGGAACATTTAGTGAAATACCAGGTTCAATCAACTCAAAGCATTTAAAGGCATACTATGCAACATTTTTCAGTTAATTATTGTGTTCCATAACGTTTTGGATGATTAAATGAGTCATTTCAGGTGGAACAAAGGTTTTCTCGGCCGCCCTGGTGGTCTGTAGGGGAAATACCGTACTTGCAATAGCAGGAGCCCTCGGCCCGCACCCACAGGCTCAGAAGTCTCGTGCATCGCGAGAGTCTGTGTTGCTTTACGGCGAGAACTGCTACACGCCCCCAGTGAAAGGCATGCTCGTTGCTAGCGCAGTGGTGATATTTGTGCAGTTATCATGACGGAACCAGCGAGAAAACAGCGAAATTTTCAAACTCGAAAATTGGAACAAAATAGTCACTGACCGCAGCAGACATGGTGATTCGTTGCGTTCGCCTGTCTGCTAACCTCAAAACAACCGCGCCTGGCTTGACGGAGAAACCAGAAAACAGCTAAGCATATTTACGACAGTGCACTTTTACTTTCGCCCTCTGGAGGGAGCCTCGCTGGAAAATCAACACCGGTTGTATAGTATACCTTTAAGGATGATGATCTGCTGTGATATTGTTAGATGTGCTGTAAAAAGGCAGGTATTTTCCTTTTTTTCTAACTTATTTAAGCAACCATGAACTAAAAAAATGCGCTTCATGCCTAGCATACTGGTCCCCGCAAATGCTCAAATAATCAATACCTGCATTAAAGTAGGGATTTCTTTAAATGGAGCTGCTAAAATAATTTGTTTGATGATTAACATTCCATAGCGCAGACAGAGTGAATGCATGGCATAGCATCGACTTTGTAATGCAATTATACGATCATTTTGCCATTTGAATGCAACTTTAACTAATGCATAAATGTGGTATATATAATTCAGTTTTATATTTTTGAACAAACCTTACAGCTTGCAGGCTTCCTTTCTTCAACGGATGATCAGGGCACTGTCCCACCAGAACGCCTAGGACACAATCCAGGACACAGTGGAGGACTATGTCTGTGGTTGCAATGAGCAACTCTAATCATGTCGAATATGATACTTCTGAACAGTTCCTGACAGATGGCGAACCATTTCACTCTATACGTCTTCTTGCATTTTAACAGTGGTTTGCAACCAGCTTGGAGCACTGCTGAAAGAACGGTTCTTTCCAGTTATCCTTAGTCTTACCTTCTAGCTTGATGAAATGCTCCTTTTTCACTGATGCTTGTTGCAGCAAAGGTAAACAACATGTAGCAGAGGAATGCTGCTGTGCAATGCGTGACGTGGAACGTTTCATTTAAACACACAAATGCATTCCTCACCCGCTAAAGCCGGTTATGCACACTAAGATTTTTTTTCCCCTTTTCAGGCCGATTCTCCAGTCATGCAAGAAATGTTTCGATCGTGCCGAGTTTAAGCCTGATCGTCCGTCGTATAGTATATAGGGGGTAACGAGGGCCGATCAGCCTCTCATGATCACCTCCCAATCAGGAATCGTAAGGTCGGGAGAATTAGCTGTGTGCAACGATTGAAAATATTGCACCATCTAAGCATGGCTTACTGTAAAAGCCGGATAATCAGTTCAGTTTTTTGTTTTTTTTTCACACAAAATTCTGACCCAGTAGACAGTCTTTACTATATAGGCTAACATGAAAATGTCCAGAAATAAAAAAAAAGAAATAATCGTAACTTTAAAAAGGCAACGCATAAGGGTCTATTTAATAGTGTTTTCTGCAAAAATTTAGATTTTAAGAGGAGTAAGACTTAAAATGGGGCATCTCATCAATGAGTGAAATCATACAGATGGCAGCAGAGAAGAAATTAGGCTTAGACAGACATTGGGCTTAGAAGAAGCATCAACTTAAGAAAGGTAATTTTAAGAAATATGCTGTTTAACACACACACAGCAGCAGCATGTTTCACTATCCTCTTCGGGACCTTCAATTGGCTTGAATTCATTTGAAACCCATTTCTACAGCCTATCCGTGACCCTTACCCTAACCATTAGGATTAATACCCAACTCTAACCTAAACTCAATTCACACCTTAGTCCAAAACTTAGCACCTTAGCCTAAAACAGCATTTGTACCCATGGGGAGCAGACATTGGTCCCCACTACAGCACTTGTTCACTTGTTCCACAAAATAGTGGTGGGCATAGATACTGTTTTTAAATCTAAATTTATCTAAACTTAATCTTAGATTTAATCTAGATTAAAATCGATAATTTGAATTCTGCCAAAGAAATTCATGATAGGTGTTAGCTACCTAAATAATAACTAAACGTGTTTGAAGAGGTTTATATATATATATATATATATATATATATATTTATTGGGGTGGAACGGTTCACAAATTCCACGGTTCGGTTCACGGTTTTGTGGTCACGGTTTTCGGTTCGGTATATGTTGATTGTTAGCCTGACATGTTGGTCGTGTTGCTGTTAGCATAAACAAAACGTGTTGCACAATGCTTGCACACTGTTGCGCTTTTATCCACAGCTTTCTTTCCGCCGTCATCGTAGGTCACTCTAAATGCAAAGTGGTCCCATACAGCAGACCTATAAAGTGCTGCTGGCGCGTCTTCCAACTCCTGTTCTTTCCCACTCGCCATACCCACACAATTCTCCACAACAACTGATTTTTTTCTGCTACACCCGGCTAGGCTGCTTCGCTTCTTCTTCTTCTTGTTTACTACTGGTGATTGGCTTTGGTCGCAGTACCGCCACCTTCTGCTCTGGAGTGTAATCGCTTCGCCTATGAGAAAAAGGAGTGGCGCATGAACCGAACGAAACACACGCGAACCGAACCGAGACAGTCGAACCGAACGGTTCGGACGGTTTTTATAAACCGTTCCATCCCTAATACATATATACATATATATAGGTATACTCTTTAGTCACTCTTTTGTGAAATCTTCATGTTCAATACTGCTTTTCTACCTGATTGTTTTTGTATTTCATTCATATTTTTCTGTTTCCTTAAATTCCTGTTATCATTACCTTTTCTGTATTTTGTTCCTTTTCCTCTGTAATCCATAGCAGCTCTAGTTCACACATAAACCGTCAATGAGAAAAAAGCTGAACTGATGAATATTCAAGACTCAAGACCAGAGCAAACAATCAAATAAAAACATGTCAGAAATAATAGATTTCTCCAATAAAAAACATTTTTAATGGGAAGTTTAACAGTAGGAAGCAGAAAAACTGACAGCAAACATCTCTTAACGCATAACAAGTCATACAGAGATCAAACTATAAATACACGGTAGAAAACGACTGTACAGGACGAAGAAACAAGAACCTGAAACTAGGATTTAAAAAACAATGTGAGCATCTCATCCTTCAACAGGAACCTATTCCACTCGACTGTCCTCCCATCTGTTCATCCCAGACGCATCCAACTATCAGAGAGTTGGCACTGAGAATCCCGCTCTCGCTCAGCATGGGGTTCAGACTGCTTCTTCTCTACCTGACCCAAACTCATCAACACACACACACACACTCTCTCTATCAGGCCACACATTCACTCAACGTCTGGACAAGTCGCCTCCTGTGAAGAGAAGAAAGGAAAATGACGGAGCCAAGAAGAAGAACATTTCCTTCCAACAGATAACATCTGATCTGTCAATAAACTGTACAAGCTGAGAATTCTTAAACAGAAGAAAATAAACATCACTGTGAATGTAGAGATCACCAAAAAAAACAAAAAAAGATTAAACATGAGCAAACAGCGAGTTAAAGACTCTTTCAGGTATATCTTAAAAATCTTCTTAAGAAGGGACAAAAACGCAGTAATAATGCAGCGGACCTCCTTACTAAGAGCTGGGCTTCAGGTTTACAGATGTAAAGATTATCATTGATGATGTGTGAAGTTTATTACACCTTAATATTAGCTTACTCTCCCAGTAGTTTATCTAATTAGGACATTTCCTCTGTCTGGATATACAGTTATAATTTTTGGTAACGGAATGAGAGCGGCTGTAATTTCTATCCTTGTGTTTTATTTAGTTTTTATTTTTAACTGTTTCTTCTGTGTTTATTTATTTATTTATTTGTGTGTATTTATTTTTCTACCTGTTTTTATGTAAAGCACTTTGAATTGCCCTGTTGTTGAAATATTCTATACAAATAAAGCTGCCTTGCCTTGCCTTGCCTAGATAGCTTCTTTTATTGATAAGTTACTTTTACTCCTATTTTTGACAAGATTGCTGGAAAAGAGATGGATTCTCACCCCGATGTGATTGGATTAGTGGTAAAAAATGAAAGTAAACAAATATAAGAAACTTCAAATATTAATCTCCTGAACTCTTCTGGACATCGTTATAAATCCTCCGGTCGTACAAACAATAAGGAGACAGAAACTGTTTCCTGGCTCTACCAGGTGTTCGACTTTAAGAAGATAATTATGGCTACGCCCACATGAAGATAAAACGTCCAACATTTTAGAAACTGTCTCTGTAAGCGTGAAGCCAGCTCACTAGATGCTACCATCACATCCATGTACTCAGTACGCCATAAAACGCTGTTAAATCATGCTAGACCTGTTGGTGGCGCTGTGATTGAACGATGGAAACAAGCCAAAAGAAAAACTATGTATAAGTTAACCGATGATGCAAGCCTCTCTGATCGGCATTAACCATGGGAACTGCATAGACCGACTCCTTGACCCTTTAAACCTGAGCGGATGAGGTCTATATGTCATCTGAGGAGAAGAAAACTTGAAACAATTGTGTTTTGTTTCAAATAATTTAAAAGAACATAAAGAATATATATTTTTAATACAGTGTTACAAGCAACACAGACTTTAGGGATGCTGGTTTTCCTAATTTGGCCACGAAACGGAAAAACACAACAGACTCTGCCAGATTAGCCAGATTAGCCTTCCTTCACATGGTGGATGTCACTGTGTGTATGGAGGTCATCTAATCAGGGCAGCCTTCGTGTCTTTAAAATTACACAGGATATGGGAACAGCTTGGAGCCGGTCTGATAGAGTAGAGCTATCTGTAACCCTGAAGCATAGAAGCAAGCTGCATGAAGTTCAAGACATGGATGGCATGTCAGTTTCTGATACGGACAGCTAAGCATCAACATGATGCAACACATAGACTCATGAGGTATAAGAAGCAGGTGATGACCTTGTTCGGGGCTCAATCTTTGCCGGACGCTTGCTGACCTGATTTTTGAGACCACAGCTGTGCAAGCTCCAAGCATTTTCTCTGTCCTGTAACAACCTGATCTGGAATAAACTCTGTTACTTTTTACTCCTGTTTTATAGTTCTTTTTACATGTTAAGAGTAGTAAATAACTTGCTCCCAGGAAAAGAACCGTGAGGAAGCCCCTGGGGTGCACCGGCTTTTTTAGGGGACATAACTTCCTCATTTAATACATTGTTAATTACCTGAGCAAGGGAGGAAATAACTAGACTACTGCTCAGTGATCAAAGTCCTATTTTTTTTTTAGATAAGGTAATTTTTTCAGTTCATTAGGATTAGTTTTTGTTTTTTTTTCAGAAAAAAGTAATAACTTATAAGGAATCATTAGAGAACTCCATGCTTCCATTTTGAGCTTCTTAACCCCACAGATATTATAAAGGAGGTTTAAAGAAACCAGAGCCAACCATGCAGGAGGCAACGATCACAGCAAGCATGGCTTCCTCAACATCCCAGCAGAGAAACCGGCTCCTTTCCTGCATGCAAATGAGCCCCGGCCATATAATCTGCAGCACGTGGAGATAATCTGCAGCCAACTGACATTTATTTACAAAGAAATTTATTTTATTTATATTATGTAGAATTATATGGTCTAAAAATGTCCATTATCTTTAAGCTTGTTTTAATCAACGCAAATAAACTAGTAGGTCTTTGAGTTGAAAAAAAAATGTGGTGCTACAGCCAATCAAATCCTTCCCTAACCTGCTCTGGCTCTGATAAGTCGTTGTGTTTAGTGTCTGTTTTTTTTAACTTAAGGTAAATCTATGTTAAAATGATCATATTCATTCTTCATAAGAGTATTTTCTTAATAACTGTTTTTATCTGTGCTCTAAAAACAACAGATAAAAGGCAGGCTTGATTTTATTAAAGGTCCAGACATTAAAATGCTTTTGTGTAAAAGTGTGTTTTGTTGACTTGAAGTTAGCACAGAGTTCTGATCTTCTGTCAGGCCCTTATTTTCATACCGACATGAGAGACATGCATGCATGCAAATCAGTGTGGCTCTCACCGTGGCAGCTGGTGCACTCACAGCTGGTTATGACCGGCAGGAAGACCTGCTCACTTTCTCCGCTCTCACACTGCAGGCTGAGGAAACGGACCGGTTTCACCAGGTCCAGCTTGTAGCTGCAGCACTCGCACTCGGACCGAAGGTGGGGCTCCTGGATGTGGTGCATGGAGTAGAGTGGAAGAAGGGGTGATAACAAGAATATTATTAATAATTATTATTATTTTTAAAAATACTAATATAATAATTGAACTTTATTGATCTCACATTGGGTACATTTACCTCTGCATTTCATCCATTCCCTTTAGATTCACTGAAAACTTTTTTTTCCCTTAATAACCAAAAATGTTCACAAAACAAAACTGTCATTACCTTTTATTTTGTTAGCATCCATATAAGGGTCAAAAAATGCTTATAATGTTGAAATACACATGACAAATAAAGAAAGTTTTTCCACAAATCAAATCTTCTTCTTTTTAAAGTGATCTTTGTAGCGTTTGGCGCTAGTTCCTGTATTGTACGGTGGCTGAGGGATCCAAAAGCAAATATGCGATTTCACTGCAACCTCAAAAGTTAGACTAGCAGACATAAAAATTAGATTAAAATATAAAATCTAGACTAACACACAGAACATATGCAAAGGAAAATAAAGTAGCCGACAAAAAGAATGAACTATAAGTTAAATTCAGCTGTAAACTGGCTGAAGAGCTTCGTACCACTAGGGAGAGATGATAATCAACTCCAATGGAACCAAAACAAAAACATTACTGCAAATATTCCTTGAAAAACTTCTTAAACGACAAAAGCTTTTAAGTGTAACTGCCGTTGTGTCAGGTTTAATTTTTGCACGTTTTCTCTTCATTTTTTTTTCAAGATTTTATATATATATATATATATATATATATATATATATCTCGCTTTTTTTTAAACTCAAATAAGTTTCACAAATTGCCTTCTTTTCTGGTTGCGTTTTCCAGATCTACTTCTCTTCATGTTTTAGGGCGGGTTTTCCTCTGAAGTGGGGAGTGAAGATGCATTTCTATTTGTCTGCTGGACGTTAGCAACAATATTTTATCGGACAACAGCGAGTGTTTGTATCGGTGAAGAGAATCTGATCTGTGAAACGCAATTTGAAAAGGACGCAATTCATAAAACGCAAGGTATAACATTTTATAAAAATATAAGCTCTGTAAAATTTTTTTTTTATAAATTATGAAGAAAAATAATGCTGAAAATAAATGTTTTAATATTAGTGTATTTTACCTAAATTTGAGACGGTAAATAAGGTAATCTGCTTTTTTTTTTTTTTGGAAAAATTTAAAATATAAAACCTGTAAAAATTATTTGAAAAAATAAATAAATAAAATGTAAAAAGCTAGTAAATATATATATATATTTTTTAAATAAAATACTGAGAAAACGGCAAAGATCCCCTTGCAACCTTAATTTAGTTTATCAAAGTTTTCAAAGTTTCATGTGTGGATTGCATTTTTCTTGCAACAATAAAAGAATAAAAGTTCACTCTACTGTATATATATTTTTTCAGATTACTCAGCTTTTATAATCTTCTCTTTACTTTGCTGACTCAATCAGGGCAAACTGTTTATGTTTTCTAACTCCATTTAAGCAGACGGTTTTATATCCAGTAAAGGAAAAGTTCCATGAAATGTGTAAAACAATAAATCTACGAGTTTCCTAGAAAAGAGGGGTCAGTGTTAGAATGTGAGTTATAGAAAAATTGGCGTAGAAACATCACCTTCAAACCTACATGACTAAAGCACTTATAAAAACACCTTTTGAGTTATTATGTCATTTTGAAGGTTAGTTATGAATCAAAGGTCTCGGGAACAGGTTAGCTCTGCTTTGTGAATTAAAACTCCTCAATTCTCAATCACAATTTAACATTCCCGGTTGCCACAGTAACAGGATGGTGATAAATTGGGTAAGGCTAACTTTTAATTTTACTTTTCTCCCAAAATAGCTGAAGTTATAATCTTCTTTTTGTAATCAACATGTAAGGTTGCCAAGGGAGAGTCACGTCTCCATGGTGATGTTGTGATGAGTTTGCTTTTTTAAGGGATAAAAGGAAATGAGAAAAGGGATAAAAGAAAAACAACAAGAAAGATGCTATGTGTTTAGCACGGTTAATAAAGGCTCAACCTTCGCACAGATTTCATATTTGACTTTTGGATTAAATAGATATTTGCTTGAAGTAAAGTTATATTTGGAGATAATTTAGAGTTTATAGGAAAAAAATAGACTAAAGACTTTGATGTGTTGAAGGTTGACAGACAAAATAAAGAAAAACTTGACATCACAATGATGGCAGGAAGAGGTCAGGCGGGTTGGGTTGGTGTAAAACATTAAGCAGGGACACAGAAGCCTCATCCTGGAGCAGGGCCGTCACTAGGTTTGAGAGACATGGGTGGCTTAGCCCCTAGGTAAGATATTGCGCGCGCACAGCGCGCGCCGAAATTTTTTCAGTGCACTTTCTAAGGCGCTGTCTATAAATTCATTATTTTAAGAGCAACATACCTGGGAAACACTTCCCTCACTAATGCTACTTCACCAACTAAACTACACCAGTTAAAATGTGCTAAATTACAAAGAGTAAATGGTAGGTGCCATGCATTACTGCATAAATGGAAGAAGGCAAGTGGTTCGCCACTCATCATAATGGAAACCTTCTACAGAAGACAGTTGTCTAACCAACAGACTCCCAACATCTTCATAAACCCTTAACCTGGCCATTCATCTTTCCCCATCTCCCCTGCACCCACAACCTGTCAGGAACCCCTGTCTGCTTTGCAATAACCCTGTTTCTGTGTGTGTGCTTGGTGTGTGTGTGTGACCTGGACTTTGGCATGTCTTTCTCTACACCTGGCACAGAGAGAAACACATATATGTGAGGAACTTAACAATAAATGCAGCATTATCTTTGATCGATTTCTGCTTAATCTAAAGTTTAACCACAAAATACAAGTTGCATAAATGGACAGTAGGCAATAGGCAATAGCATCATTGCAAAGAAGGATATCCTTGAGACTTTTTCACATCAGTCTGACAAAGTTTTAATGCAAATAAAGGAAGTATTTTTAAGTACAATGTATTAATGAAAACACAAAATCAACAGTATATGAAACGTACAACTTAGAACTATAGTCAACCCAAGGAAGCACTACCATATCACACAGTGTCGCCCTATCAGACTGGTGGCACATAGATATGGGAGAATTATCCTGCCATAATGCAAGAGCACATAACTTCAATTAGAGAAAAGAATTTCATCTTCTTGCACTCAAAACTTATAATGCTCACACTCAAAACATGCGCTCTCTCTCAAATATTTTCTCTTCTCTCAAAAATCTTTGTTTCTTCTCTCAGATTTAAACAGATATTTTCTATATTATCACAGATATTTTTTCCTCTCGCTTGCCTCCATCTCCGCTCTGCACGGGTCTCAGTTACGCTCTGCTTGCGGATTTGTTTTGCTCTCTCAGACTGCAGTTGGATCGTTGCCTAGCAACCTTTCCAGCCAATAGAACGACAGCCTCGGAAAAGGTGCGCTTGTTTAACCCTACGGAGTGTGCCTGTGCTACTACGCCACTTATAAAGCGTCAGCTGAAACTGCTATTTACAGTAGTTTTGTGGCTGATTGTTGTTTAGAAATAGAAAACATGGTTTCATTTCTTAGTTTTGCCCTGGATTTTGTAGCGTTTGTGGACGCTACGTCGCTACTTGATCAAAACAATAACGTCGCTACAGGAAAGTTACTTGATAAATAAAGCAGCGACGCTACGGTCAAGCTACTTGAAAATGTAGTTAAACTAATAGCTTCGCTACATGTAGCGGCGCTACTGCCCATCACTGCTCCTGTGACAAAACTATTATAATGATGCTAGTAGGCTACAACAACATCGTGTTTTCCCACACCACTGACTTTGTTCACCATGGTAACGTAATTCCTACTGAATCAGACAAGCTATTAGGCCTATATTGTCTCTTTCCTCACTCCAGGTAAAGTGAAGAAAATGTAAACCGCTGACATCAAATGGCAAACTCACCGTATGTATCTGCACGCAACCATAACTTTCCTAATCAAGCTCGATGACTGTGTGGAGATTCAAAGGGCGCGCTGTTGCTGCACTGCACAGCTGCTATGGTCCAGTTGATGGCCGTGTACCACGTGACGTGACGCTGGACGCGGAGCCAATGAAGGAAATGAATATCCTAACGATATTAATAATTGTATAAATAATTGTGTTTGTAAATAAACTAACAGGAACTTATCTTCAGATTAACTTGCCTTCTTGGTGGCTCGTTTTCAGTGCTTTACTGCAATTGTTTGGGGTTATATGGAAAAAAAAATCAATAAATAAAAAAATAACAATAAAAATCGCAAAATAATTATGGGGTGGCTAATACCAACGAAGGGATGACTTCAGCCACCCTAAAATAGGTCTAGCCACGTCCCTGTCCTGGAGCCAGGCCAGGAAAGGGGTTCATCTGGAGTATCACTACCACCTGATTTACCCATGAAGCAAAGAGCCAATAAATAGAAATAAAACTGAATTGAATTAAATGGGAAGCTTTGATGAACAGACCAATCTATGTAAGCAGGAATGACTGAATTAATGAATGAATGCACAGAATACATTAAAAAACATTATAATCCTGATTCATTCTTAAGTTATTCTGGAATTCAGTATTCTGTTGTGATCTTTTTTCAATTTTTTTTATTTTTTATTTATCTTTTTTTATTATAAAAATTCAATTTAAAAGAATAGGTGCAACTATATACAGTGAAAAAAAAGGATAATCAAACATTGTCATTCGTTTACAGAAAAACCAAAGAAAAAACACAAAAGGAAACTCATTATAAACCCATATCAACAAAAATACTTTCCCTCTTAATTATTTACAGTGAAAAAATTTATGTTTATGCACAAAAATTTAACAAATTGTCCAGTCTTGAAAATATTTGCATTGACTGAGCAGTCCGAAAATGTCCTGAGAAAGTTGTTAGGATCTAAATAAAAACTAATATTCTGTGTTTTTAAACCATACAAGTTTGGGGATTTTGTTATTTATTAAGAGTAAATTACATAATCATTGATTTGAACATAAGATGTTCAGACAGTAACCCTGTTATTGTGAGCCGTCAGCTCTTCATACCTCCATGATGACATCCGTCCAGGACAGACAGCGCCCCCTGCAGAAGCTGACCTCCACGTTGTCAAGCCGACAGCCTCCCTTGGTGATGTTCCGCACCTCAACGTAGCGCTTGCACTCCGCCACAGGCTCACCTGATGGAAACACAGATCAGAATGAGGACGGAGGAACAGCAGGACAGAAAGGACGTATAAAACTCTTTATCATTTACTTTTTGCACAAACGTGAAAGAGAGGAATGATACAAGGAGAAAAGGGAGCTGATAGTTTGTCTGCAGAGAGCAGAGTGACATTGCTGTGCCCCTCCCCCCATGTGACATTTCCTCCGCAGGGAGAGTGATTAAAGCCTGGCATGGGCTGAGGAATGTAATCTCTCATTAATTGGGGACTGCAGGACTCAATTTTTACCCTTCTATAAAATAAATCATCACATTCACTGAATCATTTTCATGAGGGCTTTTTGAAGCTTGTATCCAAACACAGAGCTGAATTCCCTCATGAAACTAACCTGGGAACAGCTTCCTGCAGACTGGACAGCAGCTGCCTGGTTCCTCCACTTTAACGTCACCCTGACAACAAGAGGATGCAAGTTTATTTATTAAGCACATTTGAGTAGCAACTCAAAGCCTTGCCTGTAAAAAAGGAAAAGCAGTATAGGAAAAGTACACTGCAGTGGCATAAAAGTATTTAAATGCATAATTAAAACAAACAATTAAAGGGGATTAAAATAATTTTTAAAAGATTAAAAATTATAAAAGAGAAAAGAAAGAAAAAAGGATTTTTGTGATTTTTTTGCGCCCATCTTTTTATAGCTTGTGCACACATGAATTGCATTCCCTAATACCATTGGTCAGTAATAATGTTTTCCCACACGCTTGTGATGTTTCTTGTTTGTAAGCTAAGATCCTCCAATTTTTGGATAAACTTGAGCTTTGTAACTTTAAACATTTGAAAAAAATAGATATTTTTTGCTCACATAAGGAAAATATATTTTTAATCTTCTTTATCTTGGGTATAATTCATGGTTGCGTCTCCAACTTACTACACTTACTCTGCTCATAAGCATTGTGAAACTGTGACCCTTGTTGTATGCAAAAGGTCCATTCGGCAAAACTGATCAAAATATGGTAACCTGACTCCGCCAGATGGATTTGCTCCGCATATCCATCTGGAAACCTTCCGCTGAAGTAATTTCGGGAAGGGGCGAAAATACTGGTTAGCTGATTGGCCTATGTTGGTGATAGACGGGCCAAATAAACCAATCAGATCAACGAAGCATATGACGTACTAACAGAGCGACGACAAAGAGGAGCCAATTGATAGATCAAACTCTTGCCGAAACCAGTCGGGAGAAGAGCAAAAACATCTTTTCCTCTGAGAAAAGCATCCAGAGCAGTGTTTTGCTCTTCTTTCAGTGAAGAAATACTCTGTAATTCCGATAAAACTTGCTCGATAGCCACGCTAACGCTAGTTTCATTGGCTGAAGCCGCCATGTTCTTTAGACTGAACTGTCGCGCTTCTCGTTGCGTCACACCTCAACCCGCCTCAAAGCCAACGCTGATTGGACGTTCGTTTGGTGAATGGCTCCAAATGTTCTTTAACGGAAAGTAGCCAGACTGATTAGTGAGTGAAACCTTGAAAGCTCGCGAGATCAGGATAGTCTCACGAGGCTAAAAATATGGACCAAAAGCGCCAAACTGGATTATTCAAATTTTCTGATTAATTTCACCATACAAAAACTATTTCCACATTTAGTTTTAAACAAATTTTCACTTTTAAAATATTGAAACTTTTCAGCTTTCAGAATTTAAACTCTTAGTATATCCATTTCTCCTTTCACTCTTTATGCACATTAATAAGCATGATTGTTTAAGCCCGCCTCTACACTTCCATTCCTTTATTGCAAAGCTTATCTTATTGGCTAACAAAATATGTCGAAGTTTGATTGTTCACTAATTTGAGGAGTTCAAGATGCACAAGGACTACAACATCGCATGCTCCTTGGGACTGCATTTTTTTTCATGCTGGACGCTTCCGACATGCTCTGGATCCTGAAAAAGGAACTATGGTTTTGATTTTGGGAGCAAACTTGGTGAACAAGACCATGTAACGTATTCTGTAAAGCCTAAAATGGTAGACATACCTCACTGGACTTCAGAAGAATTAGCTTTTATTCTGAAATTCTTTTAATTTTCTATGGAAAAAAGTTAGCTGTGGTGGATTATTATGACACATGATTTTATTTTATGGTAATACAACCGGATATTACTTTTATGTTGAGTGTTACAGACAAAATGAGCTATTTTATTCCACAGTAGAATCCAAGAAGATGTGAACAATGTATGAAGTGAAATTTTTCAGTTCTAATTTGATTATAGATTCTAAGTTATTGGTGCTTGTTAGGATATTTGGCTTACCATTGAGTTGATAGTAGTTTTCTTTAGGATCACTTGATTCTAAAGAGGTACAACATGTTGGGTTTTTGTTTCCAAATAAGTCTGCTCTTTGATGCAAAACAAAATGTGACTTCAAAACTCCCCGGGCCGGTCGGTGGGAGCTAAGTGGTTAAAGGTCTTTTATTCACAGAGGTAAATGATTTCTTCCATGGTATGTAGACTTTGATCGATTACATCCTTAAATTAAAACAGTCTCTTTCCATAGCCAGTGTTCATTGTGTTCACAGGGAAGGTATGAAGGTAAAGCTGTTGGCTTTCAGTGAATGAGGTCACAGAGATTCCCTGTGCTTTGTGCGATCTGGGTTTTCTCCAATTTTCCAAGTATATAATGGGATTATATTTTATTAAGTTTAGTTTGATTAGATTAGCTGGCTGTTAAAATAGGGGTGAAACAACATAGAGCTGCTAGAATGGACCAACCTACTCTGATGGGTTTGGGTCATGCTACAAATAGCAGGCAGCTGACTTTTCACATTTGAGTTAAACCAGAGCAGTTCATGGGAAAATGAGGAACAGGGGTTAAAAAAAGACGAAATTAATCAATCACAGAAAATGCACAGAAAATAGTTATTTTATTTCCTGGTTTGAGCTATTTTAAAGGTATAGGATGTAGGATTTTGTCCTGCAACAGGAGGGTGGTCTGTTTAAACTCCAGCTCTGTCTGTGTCAATTCTTGTCTTCTTGGTCATAGGCTTCAACTGTATTGCCCTACCAATGGTGGTCAGAAAGCGCTATACAGAGAAGGGCCAGTGCCTGGCTTCTGTCAGCAAGCCCCAGGGTGTCAGAGTTTGGTTGTGGTTTGGAGGACCCAAATGCAGAGGCAGAGAGGTTTAATGGGGCAAAACAGTAAACAAAGGCAGGAATGCAAAATCCAACCAATAATCAAAAGCAAACCAGAACTAAGGAGACATCAGGGGAAACCAAACACGAGGAGCCAGGGAGAGACGAGGTAGGTGGACAACAGCATGAGAGGACAACAAAGACAAGGAACAAACAAAGAGTGAGAGCAGAGGGAGAGCATATACTGTATAGCTGAGTGAGACAAAGGCAGGGCTAACGAGCAGACAAGGAGGAGGTGTGAGAGGAGACAACGAGGAAGCCAAGGGGAAAGGAACACACACACAAGAGGGCAACAGAGGACAACAGAAAAACATGAGAACTAACATAAACCTAGAAATTACAACAAAACTGGAATTAAACCAATAAAACTAGAAAACAAGGAGCAAAGTAAAGAACAGAACCAAGACCATGAGACAGGGGAGCTGTGGCGACAATGTAACTTGCCCCCATCAGGGTGTAAACAGGTGATTTACTAAAAGTGGTGTATAGTGCGTTGGAGCCCTTGGACTCGATAAAGCACTAAACAAACCTGTATTTGTTTGGCCATTTACCATTTTACCAGAATTTAAAAAATACCTGGTGGGTTGCTCAATATGTTTCCATCCCCCTTGTCAGTTAAAAATTAACACGCCGAAGTGTGGCTTACCCAGTGATGTAATGTCTTTATTCACACTAGAGCGGTTCCAGTACAGTAGCAGGTAGGATACTGAATTGAGTCGATAAATGGCAGTTTTACCCAGTAAATCAGTTCTGGGTTTATTCCCACATAACCCAGGATATTACCAATAAGATCCCTGGTTTGGTTTACTGGAAAACAAGTGCGATTTTTGTTGAATTGAGGAGGTAAGTTAAACTATTTGCCATTGGAACAAGACAATTTACATTTAAAATAAGGAAAACCCTGTTTCATTGTCTTATTTCAAGTGTATATCATCTAATTTCCTTATTCTGAGAGTAAAAATCCTCATTCCATTGGCAAATCCTCTTATTTTTCTGCTCAAATTAAGGGTAAATGCCCTTTATTTAAGACATTTTGACTTATTTCTAGATTGTTTTTGCAGTGTTGTTGGTGTGAAAGAGGCTCGAGACAAGAAGAATTTATGGAGCTTTTCAGTTTGAACCTTTACGAAAGAAACAAGAGAGAGACCAAAACCAATTGCAAAGCAGGGTGGAGGTAGAATCATGTTGAGCTCTTTCGGTGGTGCCTTCCATAAAATAGAAGGCACATTAGATCATGAAGAGTACCTCAAAATTCATAAATTATAGGACAAATCGATGTCTTTTAGGGTGAAACTACACAACAATAATGGACCCAAGCACACATCAGGACTGGTTTTGAAGTTAAGAGTGGCAAAGCAGAACAACATTAAGGCTCTGGTATTACCCTTACCTTAATCGTAAGGAAAATGTATGGGGTATGCTTAGAATTTTAGACTAGCAGTCCAACATTTCTGTTTTTGTCAAGACTCTAAACCAGGGGTCACCAACCATTTCAAGGCTGAGGGCTACTTCATGGCTACTGAATCATAGGAAGGGCTACCAATACTGACCTATAAACAAGAGGGGTCAGCGTTCACCTAAACTTCATCCAAATTAAACACATTTTTATTAACTTTTAATTTCTAATTTTCCTTTAAACATTATAATTTTAAAATCTCTATAAATGCTAAAATGCCCTATATGATTACTGTGATGAAATGCTCTATAAATGATTAAAAAGAAGAGTCACAGAATAAAATCAAATTTCAAACTTTGCCCACTGCTGAGTTGCTGTTTTCAGAAGGCGTTGAGGCACCCCATGTGGTCCTTGAGGGCCCCTTGGTGCCCGCGGGCACCGCGTTGGTGACCCCTGCTCTAAACCATATCAAACCTGGGTTAAATTATTGTGGATCTCTACAGTAGCAGCCATTCAAAATGGCGCTTCCCAGTCAAAGGCCAGCCGAATGGCAGCAAAATCCCCTCCAACTTCAATTTAAATTCGATTCAGTTCAGTTTATTTCTATAGCGCCAATTCACAACACACGTCACCTCTAGGCACTTTCATCATCCAGTCAAATTGATTCAAAGTTTTCTAAGGAAAACCAGTTGATTGCATCGACTCATTGACTCTTCAGCAATCCCTGACACTAAGCATGCTTGTAGCGACAGTGGAGAGGAAAAACTCCCTTTTAACAGGAAGAAACCTCCAGCAGAACCAGGCTCAGTGTGAGCGGCCATCTGCTGAGGCCCACTGGGGTTCAAGGAGACAGAAGCGGAGACACAAAAAGCAGCTG